TTTTTTTTTTTTTTGCTTAGATTTTTAAGCTTAGCTTTTTTCTTGATTTATTTTTTTTTTGTTTGTTTGTTTGGATGCATTGTTTGGTTTTTTTGTTCAGTTGTTTTTTTTAGTTTAGTTTTCATTTTGGGTTGGTTTTGTTTTGTAATTTTTTTTTGTTTGTTTATTTTGTTTCATTTTTTTTGCTTAGTTTTGTTTTCTGTTTTTTATTATGTTTTATGATTGTTTTTTGTATTTGTTGTTTTGATTAGTTTTGTTTTTGCTTGGTTTAATTTGTTTTTTTATTTAGGCTTTCTTTCTTTCTTATTTATTTCCCCCCCCCACCCTCTCAGAACATACCAGTGACCCATTATTGGGTGGAAATTGTCCCTCCCGCTCATACTACCTGTGACCAACTACCAGAAACCAGTGGCTGAAATGCACTCATTTTGAAAGTTTTTTTCATTGCTTTCGTCCACGTCACAGGCTGTGCGAGGTTATGCCAGGCTGTAACGTAAACTAACGGCTATTGCATGCTAAAATAGGGGAAGTCCTACTATATATGGTCTTAAATGTCTGATTAACTATTTTAGATTAACTAGTAAAACTGTAAAAAATATATTCATAATTGTAATAAATTTAAATATATATTTTGAACAAAAAGTTTACAAGGTTATAAAAAAGATCTTCCATTTTAATTTGAATTTTTTTGAATGCGAATAAATGCACAACTGTTTTGTCATTTTAGTAAGTAAATTTATCGTTCGCGCTTGTGTTGCAGAAATAAAGAGACCAGTCGAGACGAGTTCATCTTCTACTCTAAGAGGTTAATGCGGCTCCTCATCGAGAGAGCGCTGTCCTTCCTTCCCTCTCAGGTGAGAAAAGAGTTACAGACCAAGCGAAGATGAAGGTATTGATGAGGAATCTTTAGATCGACCTAATAACGGCACGCAAACGGATTTGAGCGTGTGGGCATGGAGGCCTCGTCTTGAACATGGAAACTTGTCTCGCTTGTCCACCGCAGTGGAAACTCAGACTAACAAACTCAACATGATAGAAATCGGCTTAGCAACGCGCAGCAGCAAAACAGCGACCTTTACACTTAAAACACTCACAGGAGAAGTGCAGTGAGCTAGTGAGCTTCATGATGTTGCTGCTGACATTTTACTGTGGCTTTTAATCAGAGAGGAAGATCAGTTTAGCTACATATGAATGATATGCCTGGACAAAAAAAGCTTGACGTTACAGTTTGTCTGTTATCTGCTGCAGGTTCACATTGTTCAGACCCCACAAGGAGAAGATTACGAGGGCCGAACTTTTCATGGGAAGGGGGTAAGAAAATAATGTGCCACGAAAAATGTCTTTTTGGACAATCTCTTGGTGGTTCAGCCTAATCAATCTGCTTATTTGGCGATTTTCTTTGTCATACAAGAATGTCTTTGTTCTGTGTGGTGTAGAAAAGTTTAGGCTCTCCCTCTTCTTTGTTTTGAGCAGATTACGGGTGTGTCGATTCTCAGGGCGGGAGAGACCATGGAGCCCGCGCTTAGGGCCGTGTGCAAAGACGTCCGCATTGGCAAAATCCTCATCCAGACCAATCAGGACACAGGAGAGCCTGAGGTAACGCCCCTTTCTGCTCTTACTACCCCCCAGAATTTACACACATCAGATCAAGTCAGATGATGTCAATTTTAAATTAATTTATTCATTTGGTAGCACTTTAGTTTAGGGACCAATTCTCACTATTAACTAGTTGCTTATTAGCTGCATATTACTAGCATATCAGCTGTTTATTATTAATTATAAAGCACATATTAATGCCTTATTCTGCATGACCATATTTTAGATCCCTTACTCTGACCCCATACCTAAACTTACTAACTTCTAATAAGCAGCAAATTAAGAGTTTGAGGCAAACGTTGTAGTTATTAGTTAATAGTGAGAATTGGTCCCCAAACTAAAGTGTTACCATTTGTTTATTTATTTAAAGTGTGTTTTATTTTATAGATTATTGTTAACCGTTTTCTGAGCAAGACATTTCAGTGTTACAGTATTTTGTGTTATTAGCACAATTTATAGGTATTTTATAGTTTATAACATTTCTTTTTTTTTTCTTTTTTTTTTTGCACAAAAGCAGTTTGTTGTCAGTTTGTCTCCTAGATACTCTAAGACAATAACAAGAGTCTTGACTGGGTCCAAGAAACTCTTTCAAGGATGGCCAATATCCTCAGAGGCGGGAAGGAAACGGTGTCAATTGCCCTGCTCTCCAGATTGTCAGATAGTCTTCAAGCCACTGCGAACCGTTCACACCATATATTACATCATAGAACCCATTATTTACTATCATGCACTCTTCCTGCTATAGAAATTGAACACGACTTATGACCTTTTTAAGGGGCGAAGCAGGAGCCACTGAGAATCCCATTATATGTGTTAGCTTGTGTTTCAGGAGATGGGTGTGTGCTGGATTGGACATACAACAATGAAAGAAGGTGGACTGTGTGAATTCGCAGTCCTCTCACAGTGTAAGAATTGTGTAGATACTTCATGCCACATCATATTATCTTTGTGTGTGGCTACAGTTTTGGAGGTGGAACCTACAGTTCCTACTATAATCCATCTGCCCAAGTGGTATTTAGGAATTATTATGTTTTGAATAAACCGGTTCAACTGATTCAACGACTGATTCATAAAGACAGTCACTTGTTCCTGAATGAATCAGCATTTTTGAAAAAACTGTTTGAATAAATGATTCACTGACTCATCCATAAAAAATGGCTGCATCTAGATATGTATACTTCCCTACTATATAATAACCAAATGTGAAAAGAGTATTATGTCCAAATTCACCGTTTTCCTACTACTTTCCTACTACCTACTACTTTCAGCGAAATTCTGAAGTGCACGTCCAATGAATACTTAACTATCCCAAGAGGCCATGAGAGTGTGTGAAATGATGAAACTGACGCAGGTGAATTACTTTCATGCTACACACATTCGTATTACATAGAACATACTTTCTAATGGTCAAAGTAAGAGCTAATTCAAATGAAGTACCCACTCATCATGGAATCATGGCATTTGAGCAAATCAGTTAAATTAATGATTCAATGGCTTACTCATAAAGATGGTTCTAGGTTGAATCAGGATTTTTGAACAAATCGGTTGAGCGAATGACCTTATTAACTCACTCATAAAGCCACTCATAGCCCTAATAGTGACCTAATAGTTTAGTCACCAAAAATTTCCACCAATAATGGATGGAATGACTGTAACGGAAAGTGACTTGACTTGGAATGCTGTTCAAGTAATCAAATTCAAGTATTATATATATATATATATATATATATTCAGCTTGCATTCAGGTTTGGCCTGACACTGCAGCCAGCAACATACGTTTGGCATTATCATGTAGGAAACTAAAGGTTTGAGTGTAGCAAATAGCATCGGTCTCCTGAGATGCAGCTGAAGCACAATACGTGCACTTCATACATAAAGTTTTCTGAAGCTTGTTGGAGTCTTAGCAAGGAAAACAGACACCTTTGAACTCCAGTGATTCAGATAGCCCTGCTCCTCAAATCTGTTTTACTGATGATCCTTTGCACTCCGTACTCTCCCCTCAAGACAAACAAGCCGAACAACTGAACACTGAATTTGACATGGGCTGGAAAGGAAATATCGAGTGATTGTTGTTGAGACTGGCCATTTTCGTTTTGGAGAGACAAAAGACGAACAGCCAAAGCGTCGCACAGAGAAAACAAACACTATAATCTGAAACACTGGCACATACAACAGTGGAATCTCAAGCAAGAACGTACAATAATCTATTCCAAGCAAGGACTTTGTTATTTAATTTACAATGGCTATACCTGAATACTTGTGTTTCAATGTGAAATGAATCAGACAAGTGGAATGTGTAGCACAGAGGCTAGAAAAACATGAGTCGTTTAAAATAAGCACAACAGCACATCACAGAGTGGCATGAATCTCTATTCTATCTATCTAGGAAATGGCACGAAGCAGAATTCCTTAAATGCCACAGATGGACATCAGCCCAAAATAATGGCAAATATTACAATGAATTGCATTGGGAATTAGAGGAAGAGCATATGGAGACAAGGCAAGATTCACACAAACAGCATCTGTGGCATTCTGTTTGAAGGACTTCAACACAATGTGGCCCTGCTTACTCAAGTCCCTATGCCCCGGTGGTGCTGCCCGCCACCTGACTCCAGAACAGGAATTATCTGCCATGGAATATCTTATTCATTCCTGTTTACACAGTCCACTTCCACAAATACATGAATTGTGTGTTTTTTTTTTTTTTGATGGTCAATGCATTTAAGCAAACTTAACCCCAGACTAAGGATTTTTTATTTATTTATTTATTATATGTTAATGTAAAACAACATAAACATACATCTTAAAGGAAAAGTTATGTAAATTCTCTCAACATCAATGAAGTAAAGGCTGATAATGAAGGAGCTTTTGTGGTTCAGAATGACGAAAAGCATCAAAGAAGCAGTTCATAGTATTTGTGTGCTATATTTCATACCTTCTGAAGAAATTTGTTAGTTTTCTTGTATATACTGAATCACAGATTTTTCAATTTACAAGACCTGTGATCTTCTATGTTAGCCCCCCTCTCTGATCTATTGGTTACATGCTTAGTTTTTCAAGAGACAGCGAGAAGTTCCAGCTATGTGATCATTTGGTTTTGTTATAGTATAAAATCCCTCTTATTCACCAGTCACCTCATTTTAAACCTTGGTTTGTATCTTATTTTAGTGAAAATGTCCAGAACATTCTCTTTTGGGCCAAATGGCTCACACAAATGAGGGTGAATTTCCTCTTATTATTCACTCCATGTGTACTACAGCAAAACAGCTTGAATTGCTAAAATTATTTCTATTACGTATGTTGAAAAATTGATTTTTGGGTACAAATATTTGGCCTATTTCCTTTCACCGGCTCTCACTGAATAAGAAACCTTGATCTTTTGTTCCTTTTGTGTGATACCGTGTTGCCCTCACAGGAATGAGATGTGCAATTGTGCAGTGGGTTACTTCCCTCTGTTCTTTCTTTCTCATTGAGTGCCCTTGTTCCAAACCTCATGCATTGTTAAATGAATTGCATATTTCACCCACCTGAAAGCAGAATATCTGGATAGTTTCAGGACATCTGGACACTCCACTCAACACAAAAATAAAAACATGATTATATTACCAAACACTGAAAATGCTGTCAGGTCACTGATTAGAAAAACAAGTGTTATCCCATTTGGATGTGGCCACATGATGACTTTTGGTTCTGGTTTCTCAGCCAAATAGTAAATGACCTTATCAGTCTGTGCGGAGTTAATAATGGGTTTCAATCATAATCAATATTTTTTGCATTGTGAAATGCAAAAAAAAAAAAAACTATTGTGTGACAGATAGATTTGAGACAATTAAGAAAGCAGAGTATAGCATTTTTGTTCATTGTATTTGGACTGATGAGAGATGTTTTTCCACATTAGTTCACTGAGTTTTGTCCAAGAGACTCTTGTGATTTTAGAATGCGTTCGCACATAATAACGCTATCAGAGTAATGCACGGAGACCTGGAATTTGTGTGGAAACAAGAAGAATGTGTTAACAGTTCCAACGAAACTGTATATATTTTCTGGCACATTATCACAAGCAATTTATGCTTTGGTGTATTAATTCAGTCACAGTGTGTATCCAATTAAAATACTGTAACAGGCAAAGTGAAGTGTTCAGGTGCTGCCATCTGGTGACTGAATCTGGAAACTGTTAATTAAAAACTATTCATTTTTCTCCCAAAACTATTTGATTTGAGTGTTATTACACTATGTAACTTTCTTTCTTTCTTAACCAAAGTAGCCTTGCTACATTACACACAGAATTTCAAATAACAAGTTAAAAAAAAACATTGGAGAGACAAATTTGATGCAGTTTAGTACCAAACACACTCCAAAACACCTGGTTGTAATTTTCAAATAAACCCAAAGCGCCTGATTCTGGTTCAGGTATGTTTGATTAGAGGTGGAATCAAATTCTGAATGTATGTGGCTCTCAAATTAGCAGAAATGAATAACCCTGACCTGAATGATTGTGCTTCCTTTAACCCTCTGGTATTGTTCGGTCATTTTAGACCGGAAAAAAAAAGTTTTGAAATTTAAAAAAATCGCTACTTCGTCGTAATGATACAAAACTCGCTGACTTTTATGGCAGTCACTATGTGATCACAAGAAAGAAAGAAAAAAGAAAAAAAAAAACGTGGACTTGATTCGAAAAAGCTAAATGGTTGTTAAAAAAAAGTCACACTTGTGTTGTTCGCGGTCAAAAATTACCGCCATTCGAAATGAATGGGAAATACGCAAAAATACAGGGATTTTTTTTCTTTGCATTCACGATGCAGAAAAATGTGCAGAGCATTTTAGACCGGAAAAAAAAAGTTTTTAAATTTAAAACAATCGCTACTTCGTCGTAATGATACAAAACTCGCTGCCTTTTATGGCAGTCACTATGTGATCACAAGAAAGAAAGAAAAAAGAAAAAAAAACCCGTGGACTTGATTCGAAAAAGCTAAATGGTTGTTAAAAAAAAGTCACACTTGTGTTGTTCGCGGTCAAAAATTACCGCCATTCGAAATGAATGGGAAATACGCAAAAATACAGGGATTTTTTTTCTTTGCATTCACGATGCAGAAAAATGTGCAGAGCAATGAAGGGGTGA